ATTAAACCTTACCTGAAACCAATACATTCAATTACCAACCCAACACTAAAAATCACCCAAAATGCTTAACCTATAACCAATAAACAACAACTGATAGAGCAAAAAAAGGCACAAAACTTATGTTTCAAATGTGGTGAATAATTTTCTCATGGACATGTGTGTAAGTTCAAACAACTTAATGCTATTGAAGCTAATGAGATGTCTAAAGATAAGGACTGTGGTAATCTTGATAAAGATGTGGAACTAAAAATGATAGAAGAGCTAGATACTGATGAAACACTACAAATATCCATAAATGTTATAACAGAAAGTGTGGGGTATAGTACCATCAAAATTGTAGGAACTATAAGAGGGAAACCACTAACCATCCTTATAGACAGTGGCGGTACTCACAGATGGCATTGAAGTTGAACAAACTAAACGACTAACCATTACAATAGCTAATGGTGAAAGACTCTACAGTAATGCCGAGTGCAAAAAGTTAACATAGGTGATGTAAGGTCACATGTTTACACATAATTAAGGGTTTTGCCAATGGGGGGTAGTGTATGGTTCTTGGTGTTGATTGGATAAAGAAGTACAGCCCTATGGCATTTGACTTTAATAACTTGTCAATAGCATTTCAAAAGGAAGGGCAACAAGTGATATTGACAAGAAGTCATAAACAACTAGAATTCAAACTTATTTCTGGTCAAAAGTTACAAAAACTAATAGGATAATTTTATATGATCAGTATGGAGAGTAAAGAAGATGAAAAAGTTCCAACAAAATTACAAGAATTATTGCTTACATATTCAAACATTTTTGTTAAGCCAACTAAACTTTTACCTAAGAGGTCTCATGATCATAATATACCTTTTAAGGAGGGAGCTCAGCTTGTAAACCTTAGACCTTACAGGTTTTCTCATTACCAAAAAATTGAAATTGAAACACAAATTTCTAAAATGCTCTTCTCATCAATCATCCACATTAGTAAGGAGTCAATTTACCTCACCTTGCTTATTAGTTAAGAAAAAATATGGTTCATGAAGGCTTTGTGTTAATTATAGGCAACTCAATACAGTGATAATCAAGGATAAATTTCCAATTCTAGTAATAGAGAATTTGCTTGGTGAACTCATAAAAGCTAAATTTTTTTCTAAAATTGATCTGTGATCAGGCTATTGGCAAATTAGAGTTTGAGGTAAAGATATTCCAAAAATAACTTTCAAGACACACCATGGGCATTATGAGTTTAATATAATGCCATTTGGGCTTACTTATGCTCCAACTACTTTTCAGTCCCTGATGAATGATGTTTTTTCTCCTTATTTAAAGAAATTTACGCTAGTTTTCTTCGATGATATACTTTTTTATAGTACCACATTGCAAGAACATGTGTTACACTTACAACTTGTTTTTAAAATGTTAAGGTATAATCAGCTGCTTGCAAAGAAAACAAGTGTTTTTTTTTTATCAGAAACAGGTTGAATATTTTGGTCACATTATCTCTGTGGATGGAGTGGTAATAGATCCTTTTAAAGTGGAATGTATGAAAAATTGGCCATTACCTAGCAACTTGAAATTCTTGAGAGGGTTTTTGAGGCTGACTAGTTACTATAGGAAATTCATCAAGGGGTTATGGAGTTATCAACAAGCTTTTAACAGACATGTTGAAAAAAAATGGGTTTAATTGGATGCCTAAAGCAATGGCATCTTTTCAACAACTTAAAAAAACCACGAGTACAGCCCTAGTACTAGCCTTACCAAAATTTTCAAAACCATTTTGCTTAGAGATTAATGCTTGCTTGATTGGTATATAAGCGATATTATCCCAAGAATGAAGGCTTGTTGCTTACTTAAGTAAAGCCTTAGGACCTAGACATGCTAACTTGTCCATATATATGAAAAGGAGTATTTGGCCATTTTAATGGCTGTTACTAAATGGAGGCACTATTTGGAAGGAAAGTCGTTCATCATTAAAATAGATCATGAGTCCCTAAAATATCTGTTAGAGTAGAAGTTGTCCACAATCATACAAAAGAAAAGATTAACTAAGCTATTAGGCTTAAATTATACCATTCAGTATAAGAAGGATACGATGAATGTAATGGCAGATGCCTTGTTAAGGCAACATGAGGAAAAAGAAGCTCGCGATTTTTAAACTCCATAACCATTATTCCAAAATGGGTTACTAAAGTGGAGCAGAGTGATGAAAATGATGCACTGGCTCAAGAAAAAATTACTCTTCTTACACTTAAACTTAATGATGATCCTCAATACTCATTCACTAATGGAGTGCTCAGGTTCAAGGATAAGGTGTATTTGAGAAGCGAAAGACCAATACATGATCAGGTACTACAGTTATTGCATGATTCTCCTCAAGGTGGACATTTTGGGGTGCAAGTAACTTACTAAAGACTGAGGCTTTATTTTTACCGACCATGAATAATGAAGCAAGTACTAGAATATGTTCAACAATTTGAAGTTTGCCAAAGAAACAAAGATGAACATGTTGCTTATCCAAGTTTGCTACAACCTATAACTATTCCTAATCAAGTTTAGGAAGTGATTACTATGGATTTTGTGGAAAGTTTACCTCAGTCACAAAGATTCAATTGCATCATGGTTGTTATTGTTAAACTCACTAAGTATGCACATTTCTTGCCTTTAGCTCATCCTTATACTGCTATAGATGTGGCCAGACTATATCTTAACCAAATTCACAAACTTCATGGGACCTCAAAATTAATGATATTTGATAGGGACAAAGTTTTTGTTGGTTCAGTTTGGCAGGAACTAATGAAGCTATTAGGAATTTTTGTACATCTGAGCACAGTGTATCATCCTGAGTTTGATGGACAATCTGAAAGGTTGAACCAACGTTTAGAATAGTATTTATGTTGCATGTGTTTCTTTAGACCAAAAACGTGGGTTCAGTGGTTATTTTTAGTAGAATGGTGGTATAATTCGAGCTACCATTTTACTTTGAAAATGACACTCTTTCAGGTTCTCTATGGTTATCCTCCCCAATGGTTTACTTGGGATGTTAGTAGCAAAGCTAAGGTGTCTACTGTTAAGGAGCTGTTAAAGGAAAAAAAGAAGTTAAGCAAGCTACTAGTGGCAATTAAAAAAGCACAACACATAATGAAGTTTTATGCTAACAAAAATAGAATTGAAAGAGCATTTAAGGTTGGGGATGAGGTGCATTTGAAGCTTCAACCATATAGGTTGACTTCTCTGGTACATAAAAAAAACTTGAATCTTTTAGCAAGATACTATGGTCCATATCCTATAGTTGTCAAAATTGGTAAAGTAGCTTATAAACTCCAACTTCCTGAGACTAAGGTTGTGCCTCGAATAGCTCCTCCTGAAGTGGGTGAAGATGGGCAGCCATTAGTTTATCCTGTCGAGGTTTTTAACAAACAGGTGGTGAAAAGAAACAACAATGTTGTCACTCAACTATTGGTAGAATGGTGTAATCTTAGACCAGAGAATGCTACTTGGGAAGATTATTCAGTTCTTAAGTCCCAGTTTCCATCATTTGATCCTTAGGGACTAGGATCAATTAGAGAGTATGGCAATGTAATGAAATTGCATGGTGATCATATTGACATAGTAGAGTCAAGGTCACAAGGTGGAGCTGAGGTGGCTAAAAAGGGTAGACAAAAAGGTTGAGCTGATTGGAAAAACTGAAATAAAGGAAAAAATTGGTTATGGAAGGATGATGAAATATTTGAGTCAATCGCACAATAAGGAGCAACAAAAATGAGTATGCTGAAGATGATTATGGGAGCTAACAGAATATAAATAATTAGTTGATTTCTGAACTGTTATTATTATGTGCTTAATTTGCATTGAACAGATTTTAGAATTATGATGTCAGCACATATATTGAATATAACCATATTGTATACGCAATTGAGGACTGAATGAAAATTTACAACTTTTTTTTATTTTTTCAAATTCTCTCTTCTCTCTGTTCTGGTCTGGTCTTTCATTTCTCCGATTTTCCTTCCTTCAACCGGCTCATTACATAACATGGGAGGGTTTCATGGATCTGACTGCTTGGATTCAGATCAGAATCGAATTTCAAGATATCTAATCACTACCAAAATCTGTCTGTCATGAGGGTGACCCAGACACGACGATGACTCAAAGACGCCAATAAACTTAAAAAATAAATAAATAAAGGCTTTCAGTTTTATTAGTATAATAATTTATTAAAACATTTCTGAATTGCTACAAGGTCAATAGCACTTGTACACACTGACACATACATTAATTTGTATTAAGTATGCAATTTCCTCTTAATCTCAAACTCAAAGCAGTGAACCAAAATTTAAAAAAAAAACACAGAAACTCGCAATCAAAGCCACATGGGACAGTTTGGTTACTCTACATAGGTATTATTAGGTACTTGCTTCAGTTCGTTTTTATTACTTGTATTACTTTTCACTTTTCATCCGATCCTCTCCTTGTCTCTGCTTCGCTTCCGGTGGCCACCTCCCACTATACCTACTTCTCTGCTGCTTCTATTTCTATTTGCTTGCTTTCTTTTCTCTTGCTCTTACTCCTTCCCTTGGCTTGCTTCTCTTCTCTGAGCAACCAATCAAATAGTAACGCATCATCACTGGGAAATTGGTGATTAGCTTCCTAAGCTACCAGAACTAGCTTAGAAGCTATACCGCAACACAAACCCTATCCACCTGTCATTCCGTACTTGTGTATTACAAATGGCTAAAGCACTCTTCCCCAGTTCTAAAAAAAAGAAGCAGCACTCTTCCTACTCTTCTCAAGGCTCACCCACACACCTGATCTCATCGCTTCACCCTAGCAAATTCTGCATTCACAAAAGATAAAATCTCAAACATTTTGCATAATCTTAGACATTACAAATATATCTTTCCCATCAATGCTTGAAACACAGAACGAAGCTCCACTTTTTCATCTGCTACACAACACTACATTCCTGTGCTGAAACATGTTAAAGATTCACCCGATCATAATAAACATATAAATATCAACTTACTCTTTGAAACAGGCCTGACAAAGGCAAGCTTTTATGCAACTAATATTCAAATATTAATACAACATTAAAAGAAGAATCAACTCCCCATATGTTTACAATTTCTCTTCACCATAGTTATCCACCAATGAAACTACAATAGCTATCAAATTTACAACCACATGGAGAACACATCTAGCAGGATTATACAAATTTCTCTCCGAATGGACATGTATAAGAAATCAGTCACAATATTCAGCATAAACGGATTATAAAAATTAAACAAGGAACTAAAACTATTAAGAATGAAGTTAAACAAACAGGCTGTATTTCATTTTCTACAATGAGAACTCGAATTTCAATTGCAGCAGCCTCCACCTTGAGAAGAAGTACCATCTAGGCCTCCTGATGGCCCCGGAATTCCACCATATCCAACTTTTATGCCATAAGACTTCAAATCAACATGAACAGAAAGTTAACAACAGAATTGACACATTCTATCTATTCAAAATGGAAAAGAAAATGAAACAGAACAATGCTTCTTCTTTTTGTTCATATTCAAAGATAAGGGACTATTTAGTCTGCATCCTGTGTTGCAATGTCAAATATTTCCTAAAGAAGATGACTTTGCAACTTGCACTTCCACACTGTATTCAAATTTCAAAATGCTCCAGTTAGATTAGTTGAAACTCCTGAAAGAAAAATATTGATGATGGCATCAAACCAGCCTGGTAAGTATTTTCTTTCCAACTTTAATTCTGCATGAGGTTTATGCTTATCTTATCTAATGGCTGGAGCACCTGGACCCAATCAATATGCATATACCTATGAAAGCAATGACAATAGACAAAGTGGAAGCATACTCGTTTCATGCACAGAAACAGCGACCTCATTCCTTTTTAGCAGTTGTGAATTTTAAAAATTTACTAGAAGTATGGCACAGAAACTATTTTCTTAGTAACAAGTATGTTTGAAAAATTGCTGAAGCCATATGATTAGGGGAGGCGATGATGCAAATGTAATAGACTATTGGTTTTTGGAAATTATTGCATTGGCTAATAGAGCTTAAAATTGCCAATTAGCAGAAAATTTTCTAATATATTCATCCCTTCTGTATTTCAAACTACCGTAGAAGTTCATAAATATCTATGTCCTATATGGTTGGAGATAGGTGTAACTGAATAAGTGATTAATTTGATTAGGAAGTAGAAGCAAAAACAGCAGTATTCAAAAAGAAAAACAAAAACAAATGTGAGAAGATGTAAGAAAGTGGTTAGGAAGAGGTAAACCTCATTTGAGACATCAAAAACTCCATCCTGAATCTTTTTGTATATGGTTGCAGCAGTTTTTATAAATGCCTGCATAAGAAGAGAGTTGACCGATTAAGTTAGAAAGCGGTAGAATAATTGGCATATAAGATTGACATGCATATAACAAGAAAGAAGAAAGTTGTTAGGTATAAAAGACCTCCTCGACATTCTGAGCAGTTTTAGCAGAGGCCTCCATGAAGATCAAACCATGGTCCTTGGCAAATTGCTCGCCTTCCTCAGTGGTTACAGCCCTTCTATGAGCAAGGTCACATTTATTGCCAATGAGCATAATGGTCATGTTAGCATTAGCATGCTGCCTGGCATCCTCCAACCAGCTAGCCAAGTGATTAAAAGTTTCCCTCCTGTATGTAGAGAGAAATGTTAGTCTTTACTCTTTAACAGTAATAATATTAATTATGAAGTAGTGTTGTAAATGGTGATGGTGAGATAGTAACAATGATATGATAGAGAAGAGACTGGATAAAATAAAATACAAAAAAAAATAAAAAGTGGCGGGTGGGGGGCTACCTGGTAATATCGTAGACAAGCAAAGCACCAGCAGCCCCTCTATAGTAGGACCTGGTAATGGATCTGAAGGATTCTTGACCTGCCTGCCCAAGTTTTAATTTTGAAGGGAAACAAAAGTCAAATCAAATTATACGTGGGGCACAGAAAAGATGGAGAAGAGAAAAAGGAAAATTACGGTGTCCCAGATTTGGAGCTTAATGGGTTTGTTGTCGATGGTGATCATCCTGGCCCCAAATTCAACGCCAATGGTAAGATCATGCACTGGCTGAAACCGCTTGTCGGTGAACTGAAGAAGAAGGCATGATTTCCCCACTCCTTGGGAAGATGATCAGATGGCACAGACAAGAATTGCAGATTCATCAATATTTGTACCAAAGCAAATATGCAATAATAATAGAGATGAATAGAAAACCAAATGCTAGCAATATGTATGTACCAGTGTCCCCGATGATGATGTACTTGAAAAGGTAAGCGTAGGACATTCTGTCGAGGGAAAAAAAAAGCTGATGTCTTTGGATGATCTGAATTTAATTTTTATCAAGTGAAAAAGGCTCGAGGCTGGAGGCCCGAGCTAGCCCATACATACCTAAAATTTGTTTAATTTTTAGATGTATTAGGTAAAACTTTTTTTATTTTATAGTTTTTATTTATTAATTTTTTTTACAAAATTTACCTAATTGAAAAAAAGAAACAATAAAAAATTAAATAGGGATGACAAGTAAATATTTTTATCGGTATAAAATTTATTTAATAAAAAGTTAAAAAATAAAAATAACAAACACAAACACAAAAAAAAAAATTATAAATAAAAGCTCATGCAAAGAGACGCTTGTACATCTATGGAATTTAAAATATTAATTTTTAAATTTAGTTTAAAATATAAATATATATAATTAAATTAATAATAAAATATATAACTTTACATATATACTAAAATAGGTTATGAATCAAGCCAAATCTTTCTAAACATGCTTATACTCTGATCTTATTTTTCAATAACAATTCCACTCATTTTAATTTGATTTTGATTTTAAAAAATTAATTTTTATCTAAACGAAATGAATTTAAACTTATCAGATGTGAATTATTTTAATATTTTTATCAATTGATATTTTTTATTATAAAATTTATTTAATAAAAAAAAGGATGAAAGAGAGAAAAGCTAAATGGGATGTATACTTCAATCAGTCTTTTTTTATTTTACAAAAACAATTGAATATAAAAAATGTAAAAAAAAAAAAGGTAAAAATTAAAAAGAATAAAGAAAAAGGAAAAGGGAGCTCATTAAGGTACTTTATGACATCTAGTTGAGCTTAAAATTTTAATTTTTAAATTAATGTATCAAATAAATTTTATTAATAAAAAATTCAAAAAAAATATAAAAATATAAAAATAAACAAAAAAAGGAAAAAATCATTAACATGTCATTCGAAAATTAAAATTAGATTTAAAATATTAATATCTAAATAAATATATAAAATAATAACTTTATTAATATATAAACATATATAACTATAAATTAAAGAGATAATAGAATATATTATTTTATGTATACTAATTAGGGACAGTGCACCCTAAAATAGCTTTTGAGCCACCCCGCTTTCTATAAAATGTGAATCCAACTTAATTAAATACTGATTTTTATAAAAATGTTCATATCAAATCCAAATGGATTAAAACATATGAAATACTATTTGTTTTCTCATCTCTATCAACTGAATTATTTTATTATAAAATTAATCTAATAAAAAATATCTATAATTAAATAAATAAAATAATATAAACACCTCCAATAACATTATTTTCTCGCAACTTATTAAAAAAAAAAAAGCAACAAGAAAAAAAAAAGTTGCATCCAATCAGATTGACCATGTCGTTACGTTTGCTTTATTTTATTGCTGCTTTGGCTTGACTGCTACTTTCACTTTCATGACTAATAAGGGAGGCGACTTATCCGTCCTTTCACCCCATTTTCCTCGTCCCTTCATGAGCGGTTTCTCTCTCCTTTCCTTTCTTCCCAAAAGGACTTAAAATACCCCCTACGAAATTTAAATGCCGAGGCCAGATGTCGGCACAAGCTTTTGCATGCATGATGTGGCTAACAACACAATTATGATGGCAGGCAAATCAACACAGTAATTTCAAACCAAAGATTCCAGCTTTACCAAGTAAGCACCGCATTTTGGTTGTTGTTTACAATTAGGGAGATTAGAAGACTTCCCCCTTTCATTTTCACCAATGAGATGATGCAAAATAAACAAAGCAAATTAACAACTATTAGTAAGAGTAACCCACTATTGACTTCAAGATACAAAGCTTAATCTATCCAAAAAAATAAATAAATAAAAAGAACACCATGAGTTCACATTGAAACACAAAAATTCGCTCTTCTCTCAAACTCTGAATGACCCTTCCCTTTACACGCTGCTCTACCCCGTAAACCTCACTGCACCTACAACAAACTTCAACTGGGCCTCAAGCTCAGGTATCATCCACTTGTGAGTGAAAAACAAAACTTGGGAACGTAGTGGTGATGTCTCTGTTCAGCAAATTATCAAACTGATGTTACATTAAGTCCAAATTGAGGAGTAAATTGAAAGAGTTTATCACATTCCCTCCTTCCCTCAGAAAAATTAGAACAAAAAAAAAAAAAAAACCAATTATCAACATGGAGAATGTTATATCACTACTTAAAGAGTTTATCTTATAGTAAGTGCTAATAACTAACATACTTGAGATATTGAAGAGTCATGTTCTTCAAAAGAGAAGGATGCCGCAAAACAAGGCTTCGCCACTCTTCCTTGTCAATCTTTCCATCATGTTTAGTATCAGCTTCCTCAAAGGTCTAAAATAAACAAATTTAGGAGAAATATGGTTACACCACCACACATGTGAATCAATTAGTTCATTAAGTTAAAACTAAAAACAGCACTGAGGTGTGTGCTTATGGTACTTCTAAACATCAGTCAGATCTGCAGCATAATGCAATTGATTATCTATTAAAACAAAACCAGCATAAATTTCAAACCTAATCACTGTTTTATGAAATGTAACTTAGCAGCACAAATATAATGTCTCCATTAATGTTTCCGTTTAAATGTGACAACTCTGTGTATCTAGGATATGGTAACATTCTTCATATTTGTTCAAGGAAGAAGTAACAACACGCCAGAAAACATATAACAAGGAACAACATCTCCCACTAGCAAGATATAAATCAGAGAACACAAATACAGAAGGGCAGCCTCGATTAGCTATATTAAAGGAATAGCTAAATAACAACATGCTGGCTAGACCAACAAATTAAAACAATCAATTAAGGAGGCACCTTGTCAATGATACTCTCGACAACATCATCTGAAAGATTCATACCAGATTCAGCAAGCGTGGCCACCACCATTTGCTTTACCTATACATTAAAGATTTATGGTCACCTATACAGTATTTTAGAGATGTCTAAGAAAACATAGAACATACTACATTGAAAGAAACAACTATGTTGGTCATATATATTGCTTCATTACACAAATTTGCCTTGTTCAAAAATAATACTATAGAATAACACGTTACTTCGTTCCAGACATTGCTGAACCTAGTGCAAGTGTCACGAGTCGAGACTTAAGCTCCGAACCCGCGCGGCTCCGGGACCCGGGCATTCACCCTTCCGGCGTCCCAGATCAGCCTTCTTGCCACGGTTCACACCCTTGTGAGGTATTGTCCGCTCTGGCCCCCTGACCTCACGGTTTTGTCCTACAAAAGGCGCCTCACAAGGCGGAGATGGTGTGAACCCTTTTATACCCTAGTGACCTTCCTATTATATTCGATGTGAGATTCAGGACTCCTCCTTAGGTCCGTGACACAAGAACATAACTAAAAATAACAGTAACATTATCACCAAAAAGAAATTCCAGTAATTCGCTCTAAAGTAAGATTTCTGGTGTCTACATATAACCTTCAAAAAATGAATTACAATATGGAAATCTACTTAAAAATTACAAAATAAAAAATCTTAGAAACTTTTGTAGCTTGTAATAATTTCAAACTGATTCTTTAGAGTAAAGATTAATGCATTTAGCAAAGTTCACTGTAGTTAACAACTCAAAAATAATAAGATACCTCCTGTCTCTCTATGAACCCTTGCTGTTTGAGATCATACAGCTGGAATGAAACTGCAATTCCAATATACATTCATAAATGCAAATCACCATGAAATCAGGAGGTAAGCTAATCTAGAAAGTTCCAGAGATGACTAAAAGTATAGAACTTAATTATATATCATAATGTAGGCACTCCACTTCAACGGCGCTTGCATGCCAGCCCTCCCCAAAAACCCAAGAAGGGTTTATATCATAAAGTATAGAACTCATATATTTTCTCAAAATTAGCTCCAAATGCAATAAAGTCTTTGAAATTTAAGTAGACTTACACTCAATTTTATCATCAATTGGTGCATTGGGATGAAATACAGACAAAGCACGGGCAAACTCTTCAAAATCTAGTATTTCATTGTGCTTGGTGTCAAACAAGTCAAATACCTACAAAGTTTTAATAGAAATCTCAAGCGTCATGAGTATGTGTCTAAATTATATAAAACATACAGAGCAAGACCTATCAAAAGGGAAAAAATCCAGGAGGAAAAAGCAGTAAAGCAAATTAAGACTCAATTTTTCACAGCAGAATGATACCCGATCTGCAAATAAGCTTTCCTTCTTGTTTGTCTTAAACAATGCCAATTGAAACTCTTCCTGTAACATAAAATAAGTAAAGAGAAAGAAAACTAAAATAAAAAAACACATCAAGCATTCAGAAAGAAATATTTCTGCTTAAAAGGGTTGCCTTCAGATTATATTGAAATGAAATAGAAAGTCCATTTTCATGCTGAAGCACAAATACTGTAACAGCACAAGCATATGTAAAAATCTATGATTAGTTACCTTGTTGATCAGCCCATCATCAATCACCGCACTGCTGATCTTTTTAAAAAGCTCATACAGGGCTTCAATTTCACTTACACTAACTGCATTTGAAGGGAAAAAGTAAATATCTAGGCACTGTCAATATCTCTCTTTTCCAATGAAAATCGAAAAAGTGCAACAGGAAATCACAGAATAAAATTAAAGAAAAAGCAAAAATGAAATAAAAATGATCAGGTTTGTCTTAAAACATCAGACAATAGTTGCATCATGCAGAACACAAGAAGTACCCCTGGCTATTAAATAAGACATGAGAAGTTTATTCAAATCAAATCTTTGCTTCCTGTTTCTTTTAATTTGAAGACAAGAACATTGAAAAATCATCCACAAAGTCATGCAAATTCACCAATTGGCCAGCCCACCAGTTTTACCATCCATTAAAGCAACATACCCCTATCTACTCCAAAATAAGAAAACCATCCTCATTTAAAAGAAAAAAAATCTATTTTCATTCAATGTCTAAACTACCCAAGTACACCTTGGCAAGAAGAAATAGAAAAGTAAAAATGCCCGCAATGGAAGCATCTGGGTTTCTCAAAACACCATTAAGCATATAAAGAAAAAGGCAGAACTATCCTAGTAAGTGTACATTGAATAAACTTTTGGTCCCAAACTTAGAACTATGGAACTCTCATCGATATTTAATAAGCCTTTTTGACTGATATAAAGGAAAAAGAAAATAATTTAGACGCTTTTTCTAGAATTGTAAATAGAAAAAAGTAATCATTCTTCAATTATGACTGAAAATATAACAAAAAAGTACACATACACACAGTCTCCCTTGCCAGAGCTTCTGGATCATCTAGACCCTTAGGTTGCTTATATAAATCAGCATCACAACAATGAATGACTGCAGCACATAAATGCTTTAATCCGTCTACGCACTGCATCATGATCTTTTCAAGATATCAAAATACTCCATAACTGCACACACGAGGAACCCAACTCTGAAATTTTGCAAACTTTATCAAGAAGAAAACCCAAGAGAATAGCAAGTTATTAACCTAATAAATAATTTCCCCAACAGACCAAAGATTGAATAGTAGATAGCCTTTCAGTTAACCTTTTGCCCACAAGCAAAAGAAGGGGGGAGGGGGGGGATTTTCCATAACTAGTACTTATCAAAACAAGAATACGCTTAACTTTGATAGTAAATGTAACTTTTGAGCTACAAAATATCAATACAAATAAAATTTCAAGTCACGAGCAAAAGATAGCATTTCTCACCACAAAAGAACAGAAGAAGAAGTTGTGAATTCCCTCTCACAATTAAAAACTCTATGTGAGCACGTAGATTGGAAGTCGTAAACCAAAAAGTAAACTCAGTGCATCGCAATAAACTGAATGCCTCAAATAAGTAATTCAAAGATTCTTCCTCTCCATTCTAATTGATTCATGACAAAGTGAAAGTTTCACATCAAGTGGCATACTAGGCATTCCAAGAATTAGACAATAAAAAAAGGGTCCAGTGGGTACAAGTACATATGGGCAAGAATTTTGATGGTAAAGTGATGAGAGAACACCATCATTGAAATCGATATCAGATACCAAAGGAAAGTAAGACTAAGACGCGTAAAATTCGAATGAGATGCTTATATCTTTCTTTGCAAGTGACCGTATGTATGAATATGCAGCAGTTTATAAAGTCATTGCAAATCGAGCATCCAAATTTCCGATCCGGAAACTCCAATGCCAGTGAAAAAAGTTCAGACATGATTTACGCAATTACAACAGATCATACAAAAGAGACAAAAATTAGGGCTTTTAATAAATAAATAAATAAATAAATAAAAGAGAAAGATAGAATTTATTTTTAAAAGTAAATAGTAAGTATTACCTTTCAGAAGAGGTAGAGAGGATAAATGAGGAAGAGAAAGGAAGATGAAGAGGTGCAGTCAAGGTTCTGATTCTGAATTTAAATGTCAAAACTAAATAAATTAGAAATATTTATTTTTCCTTTTATGTCCAAATACATTAAATATTCTTATTTAAGATGTACATATTTGATTTTTGTCATTCAAATGTAAAAGCTGTATCAAATAATAAATTACTTCCCTTTCCATTTTCTATTTACTTGCCTACATTTAATATAATGCAATAAGTTTGTATTTTTTTTCTTTTTCTCAAAAACAAAATCCAATCTCCGAACAATTTGCTCTACCATTTGTGCAAACAACGGTTGCCTTATCAAATTACAGTATTATGCTCCCCTAATTTTTTGAATCGAATGCTTAAAAGGTACGATTTGGAAAAAAATAATAATAAATAGTTGTTAATCAAATGAGTAATTGATGCAACTTATTAATTATCAAAAAATCTTTTTGATTTACTGCATGATTAAGTATAAGAAATGTATTATATATTCTTTATATTTACTATTATGCCTAGATATTTACGTATATACGTCTATTTTTTTTTTTTATAAGTCAAAGGCTTACAGTTTTATATTTTACATGTAAATTTTTTTTAAAATATAATTTCTAAATGTTCCATTTTATCTTTTTCTTTTTTGTGAAAATTTAGATGCTTTTTATAGAGGTGTAAATGATACATTAGTACTCGTAAACTATTCGAGTTCGATTCGAATAAAATTCGAATTTGATTCGATTATTATCGAGTCGAGCTCGAGCTCGAGTAGCTCGACTTATTGATCTAATCGAATTCAAGTATTTTTATACTCGATTCGAGTAATTCGCAAGCTTAATCGAACATTTATATTTAAATTTTTTTATTATTTTAATCAATAAAATATCTCGAATTCGAGTTCGAGCTCGAGCATAAATAATCGAACTCTTGTCGAATATAAGAATCGAACTTATTTTAACATATTAATCGAGCTTAATCGAGTGAGTTCAAGTAGCTCGATTTCGATCACGAATCGAGCTCAAGCTATGAAAATAAAACTCAATCAAGTTCAAGTCGAGTATCGAGCCTCGAGTTGGAAGCCAAACTCGAGCTCAAGCTTCTTACTCAACTCGACTTGATTACACTCCTAACCTTTTAGAATACTATTAAATGGCAATTGGTATTACATTCCATATGTAGATTATTTACATTATTTTCATTTTTAGTTCTTAATCAACTTAAGTTTAAAATTTATGATTTTAAAATTTATTGTCATAAGTACCTTTAAGATCTTACTAATATAAATGAGAATGTTCTGTCAGGATCCACGCATAATTTATTTACAGTGTTTCGTTTAAAATGGCTTAGTTGGATTATTCTTTGCAAATTCTTTTAATTGCGTTGATTCTGTTTTTTTTTTTTTTCTTTTATTTTCAGATAATAGCCCCTTTTTTTAATGGTATACAATTATATTTTAATATCTTTGTAATCATCTTTTGTAGGATTGAGAATATATATATATATATATATATATATATATTCAGCTTTTGCAGTAATGAGGGACCTTGTTTTTCTATTATGGATTTGCCACAGTTTTGATCTTATTTTGAGAAGATGAGTTCAAAGATGATAGAAGTTTGATGAAAATTTTCTGAGGTGTATAAGTCCAATATCTGCAGACTGACCGATTAGACACTCATTTGAGAGCTGTGAGATTGGTTGGAGACCTCTTTGCTCTGCCAGGCTCTTCTATATGTGAAGCATTTCAGCCAATATTTTCAGAATTTTTGAAAAGGTTGACTGATAGAGTTGTTAGTGTTCGAATGTCTGTTCTTGAACATGTTAAGAGCTGTTTGTTGTTGAATCCCTCCAGATCTGAGGCTCCTCAAATTATCTGTAAGTTTCTTTGTTTTTTTACATATGTATTCGACTGTTACTTTGCTAATTTTGGTATTGTTCTACATTTTCTGCACTCTGTGATCGGCTGTTAGACTATGATGAAAATGTTCAAAAGCTAGTTGTGGCAGTAATTTGTGATGTTGCTTGTCATTCCCTTTCTTCCATTCCTGTTTAAACTGTAAAACTAGTTGCAGAGCGTCTTTGATACAAATCTGTATGTTCATTTTTCCTGCACTTCTTTGACTGTTTTTGTTACCCATTGTATTTCGAGTGATCCTTATCTATGGCATTTAACTTTTTCTTTGGTTTGGAAATTACAGCTGCTTGTTAAAAAATTTACTATGGAAAGGCTTGCTGAGATATTCAGAGTTTATTGTGCTAGCTGCTTTCATGGCTCAACCAATCCCAATAAATTTAATTGGATACCAGGGAGGATTTTTAGGTCCTTGAGTACACTGCTTTGCTGATGTAGTGTCCTATAAAATTGATCTTAGTGAGCCTTTATTCTCAGAGAATTTGTGTTAACTCATGTTTTGCGTTGGCAATGCTATCTCTCTTTAGTTCGTCCTACGATCCTGAATCAAAAGTTATGTTTCATGTTGCTCTATGTATTTTGAACTGATATTAAAAGAAAATATAGGGACAAAGAGAGAGAGAGCCATGTGATTTGCTCTTTTCTGTCATGTTTTTATCAGCCATAAGGGCAGTTGGAATTCTCTATTTTTCTAGCAAAGTGGGTCAAGTTTTTAGTGCCAATTTTTTGTGACAAAGGCTTTGCAACTATAGGCAGACAGTATTCTTATGCCTTAACTATCTTTTCTTTCTCATTTGCTTTTGATTGGTTGTGCACGATTTTTGTGTACCATTTACTTTTTCTTCTACTCTAGGTGGAAAAGACTAATGTTATCAATGGTTGTCCTAATTCGTTATGGAATGAAGAGCTCACTTTCTCCCTCACTGATCCTGTCTTAGTTTTAAATTTGGTAAGTTTATGATATTTGTACTCTTTTAAGTATCTTGTTCAACGTGTTTGATTGCCTATCTTATGAAAACCTATTATAGGAAGTTAGGAACATGTACCTTTTGTTCATTATTATAGGAACTATAATTCTTTTGAACGTTCCATTTGTTCTGACCTTTGCCAGGATTGTAAGGTTTCTGACGCCCACGCCCAGTTATCCGATTCAATATTGTTTGATTAGAATCCTTGTATTTGCAAATCATTTATTATTTTTTTAAGCATATGCTTTTGGTTTACCTTTTGCTTTATGGTCAATGATCACCTACGCAATACCTAAATTTATCCATTTATCTGTGTCTGTTAGAGTTATTCGTATTTTCAGAATGTTGCTGAGTAAAATGTTATTAGGCCATATGGAAAGTAAAGAATTTGAGAAATCTATTACCTGGAGATTCCTCTAAAGAGTAAGAGATATAGGAAGTTTTGGTGGAATCTTGTTGATTTTCACATGCTTCTGATTACATCCTATTTAATAGTTTTCAACTGTTTTCTGAGTTTCAAAGTGAAGCAGACAACAATCTTCGGCGTGGAGTAAATGAAATATATATTTTTTGGTTTCATTTATAAGCAGACTGGATTATTTCTGCATTAACTCATTTGTAGCTAATGTTATTGTTTGTCTATCTTTAAAAAAAGAAAAATCTTGTAGTTATTATATATGGCTGATGAAATACTTTGGAAGATGCTAAGAAAATTGTTAGTTGAAATACACTTTTAATGAAGAATTGACCAAAAATGCTTCTTCTTTTTTTCCCATAGAAGTATTTGACCTTCAGCCACTTGTAGTAAAGTATATGTGTTTCAGCAATTGGTTTTAATAAAATGGAGAGGAGAAACAATTTGTTGTTTTGCTTAAATGCCCAAGTTTTACAGTACTATGGTTAGGAGTAAGAGTGAGGAAGTAGGTTTCAAATTCAAAATGTAAAATGGACCAATTCCAATAACTAGAGAAATTGCAATGCACCTTAATAATCACTCACGGTCATCGGTTACAAGATTTATTTACAAAAGTGATTTTTTTTCATTATTATTATTATTATTTATGTAAAAAATAGTGTTACTCCTACAATCCTACCACTGCTGCCTGGTTACTGGTTAATAAAGAAGCAACTCATTGATGGAAAAGGAAGCAAAGGCCCAAACGTAAAATGTTAAGCGTTTTCTTGTGTTTAGCATAAAGCCCAAAAGCCAGTGGTTTTGTGTCGTAAATTGTGGTGAATGAAACAGCCCCTTCTTCCCGTCCCATCCCTTCCACACCATCGCCATATATATTCCTTCCATTTTCATCTTTACCAAAATACAACACCTTGTTTGTTTGAATAGAAATCGGAAAACCAAAACAAAAAAAAAGGTCTCTGCTTTGTCTGACTGGTAGCTGCTCTGCTCCCATGAGTTTGTTGAAGTTGAAGGCGAACCCCAACCCTAGCGACAATGCTAGAAAGACCCAAAGAATCGATCTTGGATACGGAAGTGAAGTAGTTTACGTGCCCAGGTTTGTAGCCTACAATGACGCCTGGAAATTCTTCAATTACCTCGATAATCACATTCCTTGGACGAGGCCCACCCTTCGCGTCTTTGGTCGATCTTGCCTCCAGGTTCTCTTCTATACATATACCTTTTGTTTTTCTTTTATAATTTCTTGTAATTTACTAAAATTTTAGGCCATTCCCCCTTTGTTTTAATTTCTTTCTTTTTTTTTTTTGTTTTTTAATGTGTGGGTTTTGGAGTTTTCTTGGTTTCTCAGCTGAAGCGAACTTTACATGTTTTTTAGCCACTAATTCCTGATTATTTGATGATGAAGAAAAAGGTTTTTCTTGATTGAACTGTTGGTAACCTGCCACTGCAAAGTTTAGTTTCTACACATGCTTTGATTGTTAGTGTTTGTTTGTTATCTACTTTTAGAACTAGTAAATGACAAGTGCTGCCTGCCTTGAAGTCTTGAAGAGTAGTGCTATATTCCTTTTTCTGTTTGTGTGACCCTGTTTTGCCTTTATTCGTATTTCTCTATGCCACCCTCACCTGTTGCCTTCAAAATGTTTTCAACAGATAGGTGGTGTCATTGTCTTCAACTTTGAACTATTCCTAACTTGATAATCATCACTACAATTTTTGCTTTTGTGATGGTTATGTAAAGTCATTGATGTTTATTGCCTAAGCGAAAGCATGTTTTTTAAGCATGAATGGATGGTAATGCTACCTTTTTGACATTCTTATACTTTCCACCAACAACTTATTATCTTTTCCTCTCTCTAATTCTGTATTTCCCGTATGCATGCAGCATAGAGACACTTGTTATGTAGCAAGTGCTGGATTGCCTGACTTGATTTATAGTGGATATCAGCCTCATGCTTATTCTTGGGATGATTTCCCCCCACTTAAGGACATCTTGGACACCGTAAGTATGCAGTCATCACCTCACTATATATCATCATCAGCAGAGTTTCCTATTCCTTCTCCTTCTTTAATGTCTTTGATTATTTCCACAAGGTCCATAAAATGCTTCCTGGGAGTAGATTTAATAGCTTGCTTTTAAATCGGTATAAAGGGGGTGATGACTATGTAGGCTGGCATGCCGATGATGAGAAGCTATATGGATCAACCCCAGAAATTGCTTCTGTTTCCTTTGGATGTGAACGTGAATTTTTGTTGAAGAAGAAAGGTCATAAGTCATCCCAAGGTACAAAAGCTTTTCATCCTTCAGCTTTGTAGAAGCTGTAGTAATTTTGTTAAAAACAAAACCCCAGCGGCTTAGTTGCTCATATACACGTTGATTGTCATCCTGTTCCTGTAACGTCTTTAATCACTCTCATTTTAGATTCCCTTATTATTAGTAATAGTATTATTAATGAAATAACCATAGAGCTTTCATTGATTTCATATATGATTGTTTTTGTTGTGAGTGCTAGAAACACCTGATGAGCTTTCATTGATTTCATATATGATTGTTTTTGTTGTGAGTGCCAGAAAGATCTGATGAGAAACCTCCGCTGAAGAGGTTTAAAAAGAGCAGCCACGTTGATCAGCACTGTTTCACTCTAAAGCATGGATCAATGTTGGTAATGAGAGGGTACACTCAGCGTGACTGGCTACACTCTGTGCCTAAGCGTGCAAAGGCAGAGACAACACGAATTAATCTCACCTTTAGACGTGTTCTGTGATGTTAGGGTTCAAGGAAAATGGCTATGTCCGCCCTGATGTTTAAAATTTTTATGTATTAATGGGTCTGGGGTTGGAAGTAACTAAAGCTGCAGTAGTTGGTAATCAAGGAGACGAGCTTTGTAATTTATGGTATAGTTTTGGTTGTATGGTATGAACAGGGGAATTAAGGACGTGTGGACAAAGACAGGCGTATTAATTAAGGAATGTAATGTATTTGCCCCCGTTTTCTTGGGCCGGGGATCCCAACTTAGCTGGCTTACCAAAATACTTGGGCTTGATGGTAAGAAAAAGAGAAAATGTAGGCCGGGGATCCCAACTTAGCTGGCTAACCCAAATGCTTGGGCTTGATGGAAAAGAAAAAGAGAAAATATATCATGTACGTGAAGCCTTAAACCTTAATGATTGTTCTATTATCGATTATTAATGGCGAACAGAACACGCAAAGTAACAGGCATGTGTGTGTGTATGTATATATATATATATAGTCAAGAAGATAATAAAGATAATATGAACTTTTTAATGTTGTACTATTGAACTTCTCCATTCCGACCCAAAACAATAAAAATGATAACAATGTACTTCTGCTGCATTTGATAAAAAAAATGCAGAAGAAGAAAGCAATTAAATCATATTCATTCACAACGATAACAACAATAATATTCAGTCATAAGAAACAAGAAGAATTTGACCAACTGCTACTACAGGAGTTACCTGTTTAAGCTTTTCAACGTTGTTGTTACATGGACTCACGGAGTATCTGTCTCTAAAGTATTGTCTTTGGTCAACGACACTTTCTTTCTTCCCGTATCATTACATGATAAAATTTAGGTGAAGTTCTTCAATAAAATTTTGCCACGTATCTATATAGCTTAATCACTAATCAGCACATAGCTGATATTGAAGACTTTTAAGTGCTCTTGGTTGGTGGTCAAAGCGTTGGAAATCTGCAACGAGGAGCAGAAGAAAGTGTTTTATCAGTTGTCCAAATTTCTGTAAAATTTGACTTGGTTATTGTTACGCTTTGCTTCCAGGAGAACTATGGGAAACCAGACCCTGTCATGTTGGTAAAGCAAAGGCTCTATACGATTAGCTTGATCTCAAGGTTCAGCATATTTCAGGATTTCTTCTTTAAATATCAAAAGAGAGCAGGACATGTTTCATCGTTGATATAATAGTATTCCCCCTTTGCCCTTATTGTTCATCTTTGATCTGAATTGGACAGGGTGTATTTGCGGAGTATGAAAGCAAGAGCTACGAGAAGCTGGTAACCTTAAATTGAAGCTCATCCTAGCAAAGCGATGCAAGCAGTGTTGAAGTCCTTGGCGAAGATTTACAAGAGGCAGAAATATAGTATCCAGTTTTTAAAGACAAAGACAGACACAGACACAGACACAGATGAAGGTGGGATGATGCCAATCATTCCCACCCTTATTGAAAATAGCATGTATGGAATCTGCCCTGATCATCCTATGTTTTCAGGATCATCATTGCCCTTTTGTAGGACTTCATTTATTTATGGAATGGAATAGAAGTTCAATGCCTGGTGCTTTAATTAATGCCCCATTGGATTATGTAGTTTGCAGTTAGCATTTGCCAGTTGCAACACCATTGAATCTGATGCGTTAAATATATATATATATATATAGAGAGAGAGAGAGAGAGAGAGTGTCCCCAGTAACAAAGACTGAACTGATAAGGAGAGGTGGTCTGCAATTTGAGGAGGCAACAGTAGATGATATGCTATTTCCTTCAGGAGTTGTCCTCTGATCAACGTTTTTATGATATTGACTTAGTTGCAGCAGTAATGGAAAGTTATTTGGCTGCATCTATGAAGAAGACAATTCGCTGCAATATCCGCAGAGAAGAGCCAATTGCTTAGATGAATTAGAAAGACGGGGAAGCTTATAGATTTGTATATTCAAGTTGTTACAAGGGATGTGAACATGCCAATATCCGAGCTTAAGGAATGCTAGATAGTGCCAGGGAAGATCATGATGCATGGCCTTTATAATTAAGGCGATTAACATTTATCTCAAGAGTGCCAAAATTTTATTTTATGTTTGATGTGAATTCTAATTTGTTTTAAAGCATTTAGGATTAATGCTTTTATTTATTTATTCTTCGTTTTCAATGCAAGTGGAGTCTTTGGATTGTTGAGTTGTCAATTGCTTTTATTTATCTCTAATTATTTTCAAAACTTGAGTTTTAACGCATATATATATATTTATATATTTATATAACTGAGAAAAATAATTTCACCAAATAATGGCTAAAATTGTATAAATAAATAAATATAACCCGTCACGATCGTAATAATAAGATTTAGTTTAAGGACCCATAATTTACTAAGTGGGCTGATTGAATTTGATCTGGAAAACGTTAGAGGGCTGAAATATGAAGTTGTTTTTTCATTATTATTATTACCGGGGGTAAAATTAAATAAGAGCCCAAATTTCTAGTCTATTAACAAGGAATTCATTCCTTCATCATCAAAAACAAAAGAAAAGAATTCCCAAACAGCAAGACACGTGGCCTCGTATTCCGACGTGTCCTTCGAAAACTGCGATCAGTTTTCCATTCGCTTGCGCTTGTGGCTTGGTGGCCAAAACGTCACGTCGTATGCTGCATATGTATATATATGTCGTTGCACCAATCGTTGCAACTCTTGCCAAGGCCACACCAATCCCTACAATACCCTCTTTCCGATTTGGTTATATAAGAAAGTGCCTCTTGCACATCTGTACAGATAGATATAGTTGTAATTACTCAAATATATAGAGTGAAGATGGAAGAATATGGCTGCGGCATTGGTTCGATAGCCATGATGCTGGTAGTGGCCGCTGTGCTGTTTTTGGCTCCGCTTGGAATGGAACCATTGCAGCCTCCTCCCGCTTTCATTCTCCTCATCTTCCTCTTGGTGTTGGTCGCCATTTTCATCTACCTCTCTTATGCCTCCGAACGATGATCGATCCATGTTTCATTGTTTCTTCTTCGTTCTTTTCATTTCTTGTTAATTTCTTAATAATACTATATTATTTTATTGTTGCTTTCTACAGAATAGAACGTAAATCTCATATCTTTAGGATTGACAGGGCGATTATGTACTTATGAGAAAACTTTTTTGTTTTTTAATGAAGAAAACAGACAAATGAATCGTCATCTTGTTCCTCAGAAGGAAAAATTATGGGCAGATGTTTTGGGTCTAATTACCCTCTTTTATATACAGACAACAATTAACAGAACGAGAGCTTTATGTCAACGACCCAGGATAGTTTTTCACAAAAAATTGGATATGGAAATAGAATCAGAAGTCCAAGGTGCCTACCGCATTCACCTTTCAGAATATACATGGAGGTCCCTGCAGTCACAACCATCCCAATCCTAATGTATTGGCATTCACTACCTTTCAGGCTTTCAACCAACCCTGTCCTCATTCTCATCTTTGGTACAGTTGTCATGGTTTGTTGGACTCCCACCAAGTCCATTCTTGTGCAGCATGTCCAACTCATGAAAATATGCGCATCTCTTACTATTCTCGAGATGCTTCTTACCACTTGCCATAGACTTTCTGAAATACTTGTTGATATTTTCCCATTTCTCTTTACACTTCTTCGCACTTCGACAGTAGCCCATACCATACATCCCAACAGATATCTCATCCCATATGGAGCATTTGAAGCCCGTAACATGTAATTTATGTTCCAAAGCGCTTCGAAGCATTATCAGGGCTTGCACTTCAGCATCTGGCCATCTTCTATTATTTGGATCACAGTTGAAGCCAACGTCTTTGTGAACATGAATTTCACCCCCATTGGCTTGCATAGTCCCTTCTTGCCATCTATTTATTGGATCACACGGATTAATCATGTCCATTTGAATGTGATCTTCACTCAAGTCTTTGCCTCCATTTTCCTCCATGCATGAAGTAGTTGATTGTATAGGTATTTCAATTTCATGGCCCAAAGCATTCTGGATAAAGGAGATGATAGCTATGCTACGAGATGTCTCTTGAGCTCTTGCCTCCTCATCCCTTTTGATCCTTTCCATCTCCTGCCGTTTCCATGCTTCCTCTCTAATTATTCTCTCCCTTTCCCTCTTCTCAATCATCTCAATCAACTGCTTATGCATCTGTTCCTGCTTCTCCATCACTTTCATGACCAAATTTTCCAAGAAAAGCTCAATTCTTTTCCGTCTTTTCCGCTTTCTATTCCTATTTAAAGGTTCACTTGCATTTGCTGACAAACCATTATCATCACTATCTGAAGATGAGCTGCTGAAATAAGGAAAATATCGCAAGACATTCAGTTGGTTAAAATCAAACTATCAGCAATATTAAATACCATACTATATCTCAAACTTGATCAAGTTTTCACCTATTATTATAAAGTCTGATTAGATCTTCACAGGCATTTTTAAAACGCACATTCACAAAGTTGAACAATAATACCATGTCGTACCATGAAAAGCATGACTTGAAGAAAGCGAGCTAGTTAAATTGGAAAATAAAACAAAAAGAAAAAAAAAAGAATATCTCAACAAATTAACTTAATGCTCCAAATTATTATCTTTTGTTCCCAACTTTTGCATAAAAAAGAACACAGCTTTTGCAAGAAAACCAACTAAGACCCACCTAATTATTATGGGTATTATTTAGTATTTTAAAATAAATAAAAAAAAAGATTTACGTAATCTAATTAGTTTCTTTTTTTATCAATGGATACTGGATACTTTATTATATTATAAATGTTATTATATATATAAAGATCAGTACTTTCTTGTAGTACATACACACATACATACATACATACATACATACATACATGAAATAAAGTCATATATATATATATATATGATTTTATTTCATGTATGTATGTAGTAGTAAACATACAAACCTAGAAGACTCCCCTCCCTGCTCCGAGATTGGCGGCTCCTCTCCTCCGCCGCTGACGCCAGTATCCACCACGTCACCAACTTCTGCTATAATAGGAGGCTCCAAGTACTCACCAGAATCTCCGTTCACCGCACACACGTCATCACCCACAAGTTCAACTGCCTCTATGAACTCCGAGGGATCCTCCGCCAGTGAGGTCGCTGGAGACCTCCCGTTGAACCTGATCGGCCGCAGTTTTCGTGGCGGCAGATTTGGACGGCCAGCCCCCATCATTGAATCCTCCGCTGATTCTATAGCCGTTAAATCAGGGAATGGGGCCACGCGTTGAGGGAACGTTTCCCCGCAGCCGACGAAAAGCTCCATCTGAGTAAAAATGAAAATTAGTAACACTAGTACAAATTCCTAAGTAACAGTAGTATTTTATTCAGAAAAAAGAAAGGGATGCGGCGTGGAGCGAGGGTTTTGTTGGGATGAAGAGGAGGAAGGGTGAAATGTGGCTGGTAAATGGAAGTAAAAAAGAGTAAAATAAAATAAATGAAACCCGGCTTCATCTGTCAAAATTACGGCTCCTTACCTATGGTTTGTGATATTTACGGCTTTGTCCCTCCTGCATAAGTTACGTACGTGTGACGAAGCACTCGGCTTGAGCTTCCCCTCCATATTACATAAATACCCCTGAGTTAAGTCGATTAATAAAACAGGGTCAACCACTGCTGCTGCTACTAGTACTATTATTATTATTATTAAAATAAATAAATAAATGCTCATGCTAATTAATTTCTTTTCTTGCAAGCAGAAAGCAGCTAGCTCTGGTATTTTTGTCCTCCGCCAACGACAAAACTAGCCTTTCTTTCCTTCTTCTATCTTATGAGGTCTGCATTTAATTATTGCATGCTCATAATAAAAGAGACACTTACCACCTTCTGTTTTACGTTCTGGTAATTTGTCATTTCTACAACTTTTAAACTTTCTGCATGCTTTCTAGCCACATCATCAGGATGCTTCCTTATCCGTTGAATCATGTAACAACATGTTTTAGAGGGTATAAATTAATTAACGGTGTCTGTCTAGATCAAATTGCCGATGTTGAAACTGCTACCAGTCAGCCTGTTAGTTCAAGGTGATGATTTACATATATATATATATATATATTGTCATTTACAACCAAAATCATGCTGCTGATTAATTTTTAAGAAAGCTCTGTTGAGTGCATCATGTCACTTTTATTATTATTTCTTCTGTTATTACTTTATTGCCACTCAGGAAGGATTTTGCATACTACTTCAAACTCCTTCTAGCAGTTTTTAGCTTCTTCACTTGGGATACTACATCTCTTGTGCATAATTTCCAACCTAGCTAAATATTTGTCTATAGGTTGAATATCAACAATATTGGATGTAGATCATATATGATCAGGATGAAATTTTCTATTCAGTAGTGTCTTCGTGTTCGTTCATGTTGAAGATTGAGGGACAGGTGTATGGAAGTTCCCTACAGGAGTTTTTCTTGGTAACAAGTTTTGCTTCCTTTATTATGAGACCAAGCCATATAACTTGGCTACGAGTTGGGCCTCTTCATTCTGATAGTTCTTCTTCTTCTAGACATCATGTGGGCCCATTTTGAAACAAAATAGCAAGCCCACTAACCTTTTTATTTTATTTTACTCTTTTTTCACTTTTTTATTTTTCATTATCAACTTTATGTATACAGCATCTAAAATAAAATTATTAAATAATGTAATTCTTATTTTTGGCTGCAAAAAGTGGAAAAATGTTTCCATAAAAATCTTGACCGAAACCTTTTTCATCGTAATATTCAGAATTTATTATTGAGAAAAGGAGAGAAATCTATGGCATCCCCACCATCCAAAAACTTATTTAAGAAGATTTAGAAGTTCTTTCAAAAAAAGATGATTTCGAAGTTGGTTTAAAAGGATTTAGATGTATAATATATCTTTTAAATAAATTAAATAGATTAAAATGGAGGTTAAGTGTAAACTAAAAGTAAAAAAAAATAATGAAAAAGAGGAAGAAGGAACAAAAATTTGAAGTGAAATGATATAAAGAAGGGCTGAAGCTGAAAGCGAGGGAGGAAGAGTAAGGCAGGCATTGGGCAACAAACAGAGACAAGGAAGCTCATGTCATAGCCCCAACCAAAAGAAAACAGAGAAAAGAATGGTTTGTCAAATGTTGACGTGACCATCATCCATTCGTCCCCATTCCAGATTCCACCCCCACTCCTCTCTCTCTCTTTTAACAAACAAAATTCTCCTAATTGTGCATCTGGGTGTTGTTATTTGTTAAAAGGGATGGGTGTGGGTAGGAATCATAAATCAATTGTGAGATTCTAAAAGTTGTGGGTTTTCTCTGCTTTGCCTTGTCTTATGGTCTTAGTGGTAGATAATCAACACATTTAATATATAAGTGATAAATTGATAATCAATACTGAAATAATATTAATAATAATAATTTAATGGGGAATGTGAATGGAAAAGAAGATGGGAGTAGCAGCCCATCGGGGGTTGAAGAAGAAGAAGAAGAAGAAGAAGGAGGAGGTAACAGTGTTCACGAAGCTATGGCTGCACCCATGGGTCACTCACCTCCCCACAGCCCCACAGCCACCCACTCTCCTCTCATGTTTACTCCGCAGGTATGCTATTTTTATTTTTCTGAAACAAGCAGATTTTTTTTGTTATACTTTAGTCGATTTTTTTATTTTTTTTGGGATTTTGATTTCATGTAATGCGATTAAATTTTGTTGCATTGGGCCTGGAATCGTTACTTAATTTAACTGGGGATTTACTTCTAGGTTGTATTTAATTCCTTCGAAAAATTCCATGTTGGGTCTGTGTTGTTGCAGGAAAGTTTGTGTTTTTTTCGTTGCAATTTGGGTGAGGAGTCTTACAAGGAATATTCTTACAATCCCCTTGAACAGTTTAGCCTCCCCTCCATTTTCCATATGTAATAATCCTGCATTTTGGGATCCTTTTTCGCAAATTCCAGCAACACATTTTTGCTCATCAGCCCCCCCCCCCCTTTTTTTCCCCTTTGTAGTCCTAAATCCTAAAATCCTTTCTTTTTCTCAACCTTAATCCTGCCGTAATATTCTTAAGCCTAAGCCCTTTGCACGTTACATAGGCTGATTTCTCAAATCTGTTATTTTCTTAGCTCATAGTTTTGGATTGTTTCTGGGTCATAACAAGACAGATAGGAACTTCTATGCTTGTTCATTTTGATGTCTATTTCTTTGAAAAAGCTGTCAATTTTATCCACTGTGCCTTCTTTCTTCCCAGGTTCCAGTTGTTCCTTTACAGAGACCTGATGAGATACATACACCAAATCAATCATGGTTGCAGGCTACAACAGGATACGAGGATGGCTGCACTGAGAAAGGAATTCCAACAATGATTACATGGGGCTATGGTGGCAAAGAAGTAGCTGTTGAGGGGTCATGGGACAATTGGAAGACAAGGTTCCAGATATTCAATGCCTTCTACACTTTTTATTAAAATAAAAATAGTTAGCTCTTTATGAACTGCTACCTACAGGTCAGACATATAACTTGTTTGCAATCTTGACCAGAATTCCCTTGCAGAGATGTGGAAAAGACTTCACTATTATGACAGTATTACCATCAGGTGTTTACCAGTATAGGTTCATTGTTGATGGACAATGGAGGTATGCCCCTGACTTGCCATGGGCACAAGATGATATGGGCAATGCTAACAACATTTTGGACTTGCAGGTAAATTGCTTTGTCTTTTTATTGTAAACATGCACTAGTATTTTTTGAGTGTTTTCTTTTTTACGAATACCCAATTATTTGTTTTCATAGAATATGAGTGCTTGTCTTTGGTATGCATGAATATATTCTCTCTAATCCTGATGGGGTGAATTCCCTTTCTTCTGAACTCCTTTCACTTAAGCTATCTGTCTCAAATTAGTTTTACATGCGCTATTGCATTTATGATTCAACTCTATCAAGGTTCATGTGTCGAAGAAACTGCATTTTTCTCTAATGGTTATGATCCATGTTTTCCTTTACTTTTGGCCTAACATGTGCTTCTGAATCTTGGTATTGTTATTGAGTCCAAGGTTATAAAGTCACTCCTTTTGTGGTTTTATCTAATGATTCTGATAACGTGTGCTTTTGAAGCTTGGTATTGTTATTGAGTCCAAGGTTCTATATTGCTAAGAAAAGCATCAAAACATTTTGTTCCACATGTGATCAAAAGCACCGACTCACATAATAGCTATAACATTCAGTTTGTACATACTATTAAATTGTTATAGTCATCACACAGGTTTGGGTATAATCAACTTCTTATGCAAGTGGCATTGTTAATGTACTTTTGTCAGTTTGTGGATACGCAGGAGTATTAATGTGCGTTCTTGCTTGTATTAGTGTCTTCTTCCTCCTTTTGCTTCATCAAATTTATTAATGCATATCTTTCAAAAACTCTTTAACTTGGAATATGCTAATCGTGAGGAATACCATGCAGGATTATGTACCAGAAGATCTTGAAAGTATATCTAGTTTTGAACCTCCCAAGTCCCCAGAGTCGAGCTATAATAACTTGCCACTTGGAGCTGAGGATTTTGCTAAGGAGCCACCACTAGTTCCCCCACACCTACAACTGCCACTGCTTAATCTGCCTGCATCTCACATGGAGATTCCACCTCTTCTGTCAAGACCTAAACATGTAATTCTAAATCATCTCTACATTCAGAAGGGTAAGAGTGGACAACCTGTGGTGGCACTTGGTTCAACTCATCGATATTTGGCCAAGTATGTGACTGTGGTGCTCTACAAGCCTGTGCAGCGGTAGGATTAGATGGTGACTATGTGGACCTTGTGGTGAATATAATTATCACGGTGCCGAGGACTTTTAAGTAGCTTAGGAAGGAGTCACCAAATGCATACTTTAAAGATTCTATTTTTATCTTAGTGATCGTTGATCCGTTAATAAATATTATTGTTCTTGTTTAATTTTCCACGCTAAGGGTTCTGACTTAATTCGTTTGGTCCCACGCAAATGCAATTGGTATGGGGAAGAAGTTGGACTAAGATTCGCCTTTTGTGTAGTTTTACGGCTGCAATACTACATGCGCTCAAAATTGGGCTGCCCCATCAAATATAAATTGGGACAGTACCTATATGGTTTTTGGACAGTATTATACAAACACGAGCGCAAGGTAGCTTAGACACTTGCGCAATTCATCTCTTAGGTCATGTTGTAGCATCCATTTCCTATTCGAATCGCTTAATTAACTAACCCCGGGAAATTCAAAATTTTGCTTTGCCCAAGCCTCTTCATCAGAGTCGCAGTCCTTTTGGTAACTACACAAGTATTGACATTGTAAATGCAAAGTAAAAGCACAATTACGCAAAATTCTGGGAGGTACCACGGAGCTTCTTATTCATCTGTCAACATCCACGAGATGCTAGCAACAGCCACATGAAGAAAAAGCAAACTTCTGCTATCAGGCATAAAGAAAAGCATTACCTCCTCTTCTTCAAATGAGGGGAAAAGAAAAAAAAGAAAAAGCACGAACATGCACATAAATGGTCATAACATTGTCTGTAGCAGCTGTACCATTTCCCTTCATGTCTCAAAATTAAACCGTTTTCTCTTTGACTTCAAGTCTTCCATCATCCTGTGCATGGTCGATTTGGTCTATTTAAAAACCGGACATCCTTCAACTGTGATACCTGGCGCTGTAGGACATGTTGCCAGAGAACAATGATCAACCTCAGTTCCCCACCATTTCAAGTTATGGCCCTCATTTTGCAAAGCAAAGAACAGTAGAACACCCATGAAAGCGGTTCCAGCATCTAATGCTGCAGATAAAACGTAGTTATATTTCTGCCACCAGCGCTTGTGGTACTTGAACACAAAATAGTTAAAGATGGTTCCAGTGATGAGCCAGCTTGCAATGTTAGTGGGAGTTGCAGGTGGCATTCCAGCAAAACCGTAAGATATAACTGGTATGTTAATCAAGGGAATCCATTTCTTTTGAGGGAAAATTTTGCTCAATATCCAAACAGGAACAGGCAAGACCGCTCCAATGAGGAACAACCACACCAAGTTACGGTACATCCCTCCTGGTCCAAAAAGTCGCCTTGGTCCAATTAGGCCCCAGATAACAGAAGCATCAAAGGTTACTCGGTATTTAGGGCAAGTCCATGGGCTTTCAGGATGCTTTCCTTCAACATCACAGATGTTGTCAATGCTATCTAACATCCACCATGCAACTGCAAGGTTGACAGTACCTGCAGCTAGAGTTCCCACAAGCTGGGAAATATAAAAACAGATTCAATCATTTTACACTACAGGAACAAAGTTTCCAAAGTTTTGCAAGAATTCTTAATGTACAAGCTCATGGTCAGAAGCTACCTGAGCTGTGTACATGCAGCGGGGAGGGATTTTCATGTAGTGCCCAAGTTTGAGATCAGATAAGAAAGAAAGAGCATGAATTGTGCTGATCCGCCCATAAATCTTGAAAAGTAGGTTTGCAATCGGCTTTCCAGGTAAGACATAACCAATTATGAACTGGGCTATAATGTCATATCCAGGTTGCTGCAAAGTTCCGAAAGTAGAGTACTGTTGTTAGAAACTATATAATCAAGTCCATTCGAGCTAAGTCACCAGAAAAGAGAAGCATACTTTACCTGGTTGGTAGTTGCCTGAATGACTCCAATAGGAAGGGTGACAACCCAAGCCAAACCAAAGGCAAAGAGCATACCCCACCATGGCAGCTGTACCTCCTCCTTCCATATGAAAGACATCATGAGTGACAGAGCAATACTTCCGATCAATAAAATGTAAAACCACCATTGAGGCACTTGTTTGTATCTTTTCATCAGCCTTGCATGGATATCCAACTTCACATTCTTCATCGCTAATCTGCTCTGCTTCAGAATATCACTAGATAAAAGAAACTGACAATATTTAGTTGACCTGAATGCGAAATTTCTGGATGACAAAAGCATACACACTCAAGGACTCTGTTTAATCAATCTCTCCTATCATTAACTTGTTCCAAAAGGTTGAAGAAAACAATTACAAAAGGGAGTAAATTATGAACAAGAGACAATAGTTAAGAAAGGTTTAGCATTAATCACAACAGACACTGATGATATTACTCAAACAGAACAAAGTGTACCTGCCATGAAACAATGCCACATGAGTGAGGGTTGCTGTGAATCTTGCGAATCCTGATCCAATAGATAAGGCAAAAAGAGGGCTAAGATAGAGTTTTCCATAACTGTTATAAGCAGAAACATTTAGATCATACTGTGCTGTCAAGATCTTAGTCGTATCGTATTTATGCCCACTGGAAGTAAACAGCTGATTAGAGAATATTGGGAATTTTCGAGCATCGAAAGTGTTAAATTTCCAATAACACAGAGGGACAATGATGTAGATAAACATGACAAAGCCTATCCCCACGTTGAGAATTGAGGACCAGGGTGTAACCAGTGGACTGCCATGATAAGCTGAGATCCCAGCCCAATCAAGGGTGAAGGCACCAACGCCCAGTCCATGGTATCCAGACCCGATTTGCTGAGCTGTGATACTATGGGGCCACACCCAACAAACCCATGAGAAGAATGTCAAGATTGGGAATACATAGCCAGGGAGAGCATAATAAGCAAAGCTTGCCACGAGTGCAGAAAGAAAAAAATGCATTCGAGTCAAGCCTTTCTTTGTCAGGTCCTTTTCATGGAGTGCTCTGTTACAAAAAAAAAAAAATCTAAATTTGAGAATAAAAAATTCCATAGTGATTGAGATTATAGAATTTATTTTGATGGAAAAAAACGAAAACTAGGTATCACATCTTCTTATGTGTTCTTTCTCACAAAGACTACCTTATCCATGATCTTCAGAATATAATCAGATGCAAAATCTTAATCACAACGTAACCAAAATAAACAAGTAAATTGTGCAGCATGCATCCAGTTGTCAATACTTTTGTACTTTTGGTATTAAGCCTTATGTCCTCAGGCTCAGAGAGAATGTTGTGACAGCCGTCGAAACAAATTCTCCTTCAGTGAACATAACATGCACTTAATTCGTTTGCAGAGTTGAATTCTTGTCAGTCATTGATTTCTCATTCAACGTCAACTTATTCATTTAAGCCAAAAGCATCATCCAAATTGAAATTCACGGATGCTTGCACTGTTTATTTATGCATTTGATTCATAGCTGTATTTCAAAAGCTTTTGATTGATCTTCTAAATGGAAGGTTGGGGCAGCAATAGAACTAATCAAACTTATAAAAGAATTAATAAACCAGTTGTCACCATCCATTTGATGCTAAGAAGATCAATATAGAAAGAAAAATATCAACGTCTATCCAATACGTAGTTAAATCTTTTGCCTAACTCAAGTAATTGACATATAGTTTTGGCAGGACAGGGAAAAAGGATAGGTTTCTGTTATCTGGGGACCCACCGCACGAAAAGACTAACAAATTTCCTATCGGCCAAGCAGAAAATCATGATAACGACAGGTAAAAGAAGGGTAAATACCTAAATAAAGAAACCTGAGCCAGGTTTGAAGGCCACCACATCTCCGCGGGATCAACCAGGTACCTCCGAAGCATTCCAGCCCATCCATACCCCAAAATCTGCATATCATGATCAACGATATTACAATTAGAATAACCAAATACACTAAATTTATGTTTGAAACTGCCAGATAGACGATCATTTGATTGTGAGACGAAGTTCAGAAAATTTAAGCAATTCAGAGTCTCTGCAATTAACATTTTATCTATCTGCTCCGCTCCATGACAAGTATAAATTGAGAGGGGATTAACTGAATTCAGCCTCCAAAAGAAAACACTCATAATTGGAATGAGATGTGCAGTGAGCCGTCTATATCATCTAATGGAAACCCCCCACATAAAGCTATAAACTGCAACAACTTCAATAGAAATAATAGTAGTAGTACTAATTTCAGTTTTCAGATAACCTTTACATCCCTATCAAGTCAAAGATTCAGTTCATCCTAAAACCAATTTTAAAATATCAATTTTGCAGTATGCTACGGTAATTAAAACCACAACAATAATAAAATAACTTAAAAAGAAGTGAGAAGGACTGATTCAATAATAACTAAGCCAAAATTAAAAAAAAAAAAAAAAGTAGTTGTAGTAGTAGTAACAGCAGCAGCAGCAGCAGCAACAAAAGAAGTGTCAATAAAAAGAATTTTTAAAAAAACCTGAGTAGTCAAGACAAGGAGGAGGCCACAGAGAAAATTCAAGCTCTGTTTATAATAAGCCTTCATGACAGTAATGGCACCAATGGAGTAAGCATCACCTCCACCAAAAGACACCCCACAATTGGCAAATATGGTGATGATGACATGTTCCTTCATGTTGAAGGGCCCAGGATTCAAGCTAAAGCGCCACCCAAGAAGACTGTACTCCTTGGCTGGCAGAGTCCTGGCCATGAACTTGCCAATGGGCAAGACAGAGATTTGCATGAGGATGGCAGAGATGGTGAGTGGTTGCGTACGGTAGGTGAAGAAAGTGTTGAGAAAGATTAGGAGCATGCATGATGTCAAACCGAGAAACCATGCACGAAAGGTCATGACTGGCAGAGTTGGGTCATCGGTTTCGGGCACCACCAACGCCACCTCCTCCACCGGACTCCTCTCTTCATCCCCGGTGGCGTCCGCATTTAGTTTCTCTGGGTCCGTGCAGGTCTTGCTGGCCATTGAAGCAGGAAAGATTAAAGAGAGACAGTTGTCAGCAGAGTTGTTGTAGAATCTTATCCCTGTGGTTTAACAAGACTGGATGATAAGTAAAGTGTAAAGTGTCCAAGTTTGATTTTCAAGTTGAAAAGAAGTGTCCCGGTTATATAAGGCAAGACAAGATGTTGTCCACAGCTTCTGCTTTGTCTTTGCGCTGGGAGTGGGGACTTGAGACTTGAGAGAGGTGTTCTGACAGAAATATCCTTGCTTTCGTTAAGTAAAATAAGGTGTGATTGATAAATTGAAAAACTATTGAATTATTAATATTAAATTTGATAAGTATTAAATTTTAATTATACAAACTGTTTGGTATTTAATTGAAAATTAAATGTTGAATATAAATATATTATTGGATAATTATAAAATATTTAATTTTATTATTTTATTATTTTTTATTAT